TCTCACGCTTAAACCCGATCTATCATTACCAAACCCGACAATTAACTTTCACTTCACACTTCTCTTGAAACACAAAATCGATTTGGGGCTTAGGGTTCTTATTTTGTTGCGAGAAATTGAAATCAAATCCTTGAAATTCGAAGAGGAGACAATGAGCTCTTCTTCTTCTTCTTCATCTCGGTTGTCTAACCGAAGGTCAGTGCGTGGAGTTCCAACAAGATGTTGGTGTGGGAGAAACCTTGTGACATATGCTGCTCAAACCAAGGACAATCCATTTCGCAGATTCTACCGCTGTGAGCTCGCATTGCAGGTATAATCTAATCGATTGTATGTATAGATATGTTAAAAAGTATTTGAGAGGAGAATTAGAGTAATTTGTGTGTTTGTGTAGAGAAAAACTGAAGAACATCTTTTCAAATGGATTGATGAGGCTTTGCTTGATGAGACAAAAATGGTAGAGGAAAAGCTTGAAGAAGAGGTGAAAGAGTTGAGAAAAGAAATGGTGAAACTTTTGGATCTTCAATCAAGTTTAACTCGCAAGATGGAAAAAGAGGTGAAAGAGAAGGTGGAAGAGAAGGTGAAAGAGAAGCTGGAAGAGAAGTTAAAGGAGGAAAGTATGATAGCTACTGAGACTAAGAAGAAGATGGCTGGAGAGATGGCTCGAGAAATGGCAAAAACGTGTATGCAGAAACTTGGAATCACGGTTTTGGTTGTTGGGACAATAGGATGGCTTTGTGGTAATGTTATTATGAGTTAGGTTTGTGTTGGAATGGAACCCATGTTGTGAAGAAACAATGTTTTGGAGTCTTGTAAGCTTTGTGGCATGGTTATTTAAGTTGAATGGAACTCATGTCGGAATGTTATTTAAGTAATGGTTTGGAGCAATGGTCAAATGTGTAATGCATTCATGCTTTTCTCAGGTTTATACTCAAAGCACAATCCAATAAAGATCATTCATAATCTCAAAAGATAGCATTCATAATTATCCAAAGAAGTCAAACAAAAGTACCACAACAATGTTACACAAGAAAGAGTAATAAGCCATAAGAAAATAAAGAGATTCACTCCCAAAAGAAAGAGTAATAATCCATAGGCATAAGCAAAGAAAGAGATTCACTCCGACAGTTGAGATGGTTGGGTGAGTGAAAGAGATTCATGACCCTGCGATGAAGTGTTCGCCTGAAGTACAACCAAAACACCAAAATATCAGACCCGTTTACGAACCAAAACTAGATCAAGAACCGTAACCATAAAGTTCTTCAGCAAATCTTTCTTCGCATGGTTCTTCTTCAAGTTCTCGACTATATGCTTGACACACATCCTATGCTCAGCTTTTGGCAACTCAGCTTTGACAGCGCTAAGAAGTCCCTGAAAAAAAAATATGTTTCAAGTGTTAGAGACATAAGCCGGATATTAAGAAATAAGAGAAGACAAGCAATATTAGTTGATTAGACTAGTAGTTGATACTTACTTTGCATCTGTCTGAAATCATGACATAACCATCGCCATCTTCAAGTCCCAAATCAGCCTTAAGGTTCTTAACAAACCATAACCAGTTATCTCCATTTTCAGATTGTACCACAGCCCAAGCAATCGGATAGATCTGATTGTTTGCGTCGTGACCAACAGCAGTCAACAAAGTTCCTTTCACGGCGATCTTGAAGAAGGTTCCATCTAGGCCAATGACTGGCCGACAAGAACTTTTCCATCTTGTTCTGAGCTTCTCAAAGCACACAAAAAACCGATCAAAAACACCTTTTTTTTCTGCATTTCGATATGTATCAACAATTGCAGTTGAACCCTTGTGCTTCATAATATCTCTGCCACATAACCACGAATATGAGCAAACTGAGCTTCATACTCCTTCTGAAGCCATTTCAAAGCAAGCAGTTTTCCGTTCTGACATTGATTCACCGTAGTTTTGAATCCCAATGTTCTTTGATAAGAGCTTGAATTTTCAGAGGCCACAATTTCGTTTTCTCCCTCAGTTTATCTAAGAAAAGCTTTGCAATCACAGGACCTTTCAGCAGCTTGCATTTCGCACCAGGCGTACAAGTGTGGTATCCGTACTTGGTCTTCAAAATCCACATCCCACTAGACTTATCATAAGAGAAATATAGCTTCCACTTGCACTTTGCATCTTCCCCACATTTGTACCCAATCTTTGTCTTATCCCATCTGTTTTGCTCTATGTTCTTCCCTTTCTTCAGAGCATACTCTAAAACAGCTTCCTTAAACTCAAACCCCGTAAAAAAAGTAGTTCCGAGAGCTAATTTATCTTTTCTGTTCTTCATGCGTTTTTTCCTTCCAAACTCTCAGGAATTATCCTTCCAAAGACTATTTCCTCATCCACAAAGTTATTTACAGCATCTTCAATCTCCACCTCATATCTTTCACCAATATCCTCTTCATCTTCTAAAATCTTAGCTTTACCTTTCTTTCTCTTTTTCAACAGCATAGCTTCCTCAAGCTCTCTCTCTTTTCTCGCTTTGATAGCTTCCTCATACTCTTTGTCTTCCCCTCCCTCCGTTTCATCATGCTCTGCACCATTCTTCTCACTCTCAGCATCTTCATCACTTACATCCTCCTCCATATCAGTCTGCTTTTCACCATTTTCTTCACTTTCTCTCTCAGCATTCTTCTCACTTATATCATCCTCCATTTCAGTCGGCATCTCAACGTTTTCCTCATTTTGCTTCTCAGCATTTTCTCTGTTTTCTTTCTCGGTACGCAGAAGCACAATATCACCTTGCTGAATGAACACATCAACCTCAGATTCTGACATAGCTTGAGCACACATTATCATAAGCTCTGAATCAGAACCGTGAAACCCAAAACTTCTCACAGTATCCATGTCTTCGTGTGGGAGCTTGTACCATACTCGTTCTACTATACCGCCAGGTATTTCATGCACTTCACAAAAGCCATCAAAACAGCTCCAAGTCATGTAATCAGGATCTACAACTATGCCTTTCTTCAAACCTCTTCCAGTGTATCTGACAATACCATCGTCTCTCTGCATAACACCTCCATGATACAGGTTCACTTTGAAACTGTCAAAGTTACTGCAAAAGCAACAGAAACAGAAGAGAAAATTGAGCATTTGACTTCCCTAAATCACAGAGAATGCATCGTTGTCTAAAAGAACAAAACCTAATATCTAAATCCGTTGATAGGAAAGAGTACACATACCTCATCGCTGAAGCTTTGTTCGACGAAGCTTCGCTCGACGAACAAATAAGAACGACGAGGAACATACGAAATCGACGAGTTCTAATCCTCCAATGGTTGGTCGATTTCAGTTTTCTACTCTTTTATAAGAATCCTAATTCGCTTTCCCCAAATCGATTTCGATTTTGAAATCGATTTTGAAGTTTTGTGTGAAGTGAAAGTTAATTGTCGGGTTTGGTAATGATAGATCGGGTTTAAGCGTGAGATAAAGCGGGTTTTTTATCGGGCAATCACTGTCTCAGAAACGTGTTTTTGTAGGTTAAAACGCAGATTAGAGAATTTTATTTGATATGGGGGAATCGACAGGAAAATAAGTTGTTGGAGGGGAATAGACAGAGGCGGAAAGTTTGGGTGGATTCCGATTTATTGTGACTAGTAGAGGGGGGCTGGGACCGAAAACCCTTTATTTTAAAGAGGTTAAAGATTAAGCTAAATAAAAATATAATAGAATTTGTTGTTTTAGGCATATAAAAAAATACCCATAGGGTACTCTAAATCCATTAGGATAACCCTTTTAGAACCTTTTCATTAAGGGTACCAACCCATAATCAACCCTTCATGTTCTGTATTAACAAAGGAGGGTAATGGGCTTCATAAAAATTAAGGGTTAAGGGTACCCTATGGGTTAAAACCCTTCATTAACATCCCTAAGGATAGCATAGGCCCATATAAACATTCTAAGTGTTTAACTCTGCTTTCGTGCAAGCTACTTTATAAAAAGTTCATGTAATTTTCGTGTGAAAAGAACGATAATTTCATATGTTATGTTTTTTTTATTTGGCGTACGAACAAGAAAAAGAAGACGAGTTCAAAAAAGAAAAGTATAACGAAAAGGAGAAATAATTAAAAAACGAAGCCATTTGAGGAAAAAAAAAAAAAAAAAAAGAGAAAAACGAAGCACATCGTCGTCTTCCTCCGTTGACCTCTCAAAATGCGAGACGTTCTTCGCGCCTATTTCTCTCGTAGAACTCTCGTATCTCTTTACAATCTCTTCTTAACCATCTCCCATAAGCTCCTCACTTCATTCCCTCTCTCTCTCATCATGCCCAAATCCAACGACGGCGCCGCCGCAGAATCCGAGGCCGTTCCGCTGCTCGATCTATCTAAGCCTTCGTCACCGATATCCTTCCCGATCAAAACTCTGCAAGACCTGAAATCTCGTTCTTACTTCGACTCCTTTCACTTCCAGTTCAATCGCTCCACCGTCCCTCTCCGGCGAAACTCCGACGGCTTACCGAATCGCCCAAGGGTCTTAGTCTGCCACGACATGAAAGGAGGGTATGTAGATGACAAGTGGATACAAGGGTGTGAAAACGAGGCCGGATATGCGATTTGGCATTGGTACTTGATGGACGTTTTTGTCTACTTCTCTCATTCTCTCGTCACTCTTCCTCCTCCTTGCTGGACCAATACTGCTCATAGACATGGCGTTAAGGTAATTCGTCTCATTATTCAACATCCGAATTTTGATTTTGGTTGAGGACTTCTTAGAATTTTCGATTCTGTTGCTACATTAATGCCAAAATTCCGATTTCAATTTACAGAGATCTTCCAATTTCTCATTAGATAAGACGCATTGTAGTGGATAAATTAGCTGATTAGGATGTGGAAATTACAGATTTTGATTGTCTGTGTACAGAGATTTCTTCATTGCTGAAATGGGTAATGTTTATGGAAACGTAAAGGTATTGGGGACTTTCATCACAGAATGGGATGAAGGAAAAGCTACCTGCAAAGAGATGCTTGCCACTAAGGAGTCTGCTCAGTTGTATGCAGAGCGTTTGGCAGAACTTTCCACTGCTCTAGGTTTCGATGGATGGCTGGTGAGTTGTTCTTTTGCCAGATTTTTCATGCTTCATCTGCATTTGTCGATGTGAATTATATGATTGTGGTGAAATGATTGTAACATATCTGCATTTCTCTAACATATAAAACTGTCACTTGCAGATAAACATAGAGAACGAAATAGATGAAGAAAAGATTCCAAATCTGAAGGAATTCGTAAGCCATCTAACAAAAGTCTTGCATTTATCTTCACCTGGTGCTTTGGTTATATGGTGAGCTGTTCAGAAGTTTTTTAATTTTTGGTGTGAATATCATTAGTTCTTTTGGTAAACTACTCTAATCGGATAACTTTTTGCAGGTACGACAGTGTCACCATTCATGGTGAACTTAAATGGCAAGATCGGTTGACAGAGAAGAACAAACCTTTCTTTGACATATGCGATGGGATATTCATGAACTACACGTGGAAGGTCTTGCCTTTTGATTTTGATCAATCCATTCAGCCTCGTTTCTTCTTGTATGTCTTGTTGTTGATATGAGATGGTGATGATATTTCAGGAGAGCTTTCCAAAACTATCAGCTGAAGTTGCAGGGGACAGAAAATTCGATGTCTACATGGGAATTGATGTCTTTGGTCGGGGATCTTTTGGTGGTGGGCAATGGACTGTATGTCTCAGAAAACTTTTAATATTTGCGTCTCTATGGTGACAGAGCAAAAGCCAATAATCTGTACATAAATATTTCTTCCTCGTCCTCTTCTTTACACATGCTAGGTAAATGCTGCTCTTGATTTGCTGAAGGAAAACAATGTGTCCACTGCTATTTTTGCTCCTGGATGGGTGTATGAGACTGCACAGCCACCCAATTTTCATACGGCTCAGAATAAGTATCTAATAGTTTGACACTACAAGTGAGTTTCCACAATGTGGAGTCACAGAGGTACATTTCGGACTCCTTACCTCTTCCGGTTCCAAATTAGGTCCATTTGATGTTCCTCCCTTGGATTGAGACCGTTTCACTCATGTTTGTCCTCATAGTCATGTGTAGAACCTATTAATCCATGTTTGGATAAGTATGGGTCCATCTAGTTCATCTTATACACTACAAGTGAGTTTCCACAATGTGGAGTCACAGAGGTACATTTCGGACTCCTTACCTCTTCCGGTTCCCAAATTTAGGTCCATTTGATGTTCCTCCCTTGGATTGAGACCGTTTCACTCATGTTTGTCCTCATAGTCATGTGTAGAACCTATTAATCCATGTTTGGGTAAGTATGGGTCCATCTAGTTCATCTTATACACTACAAGTGAGTTTCCACAATGTGGAGTCACAGAGGTACATTTCGGACTCCTTACCTCTTCCGGTTCCCAAATTAGGTCCATTTGATGTTCCTCCCTTGGATTGAGACCGTTTCACTCATGTTTGTCCTCATAGTCATGTGTAGAACCTATTAATCCATGTTTGGATAAGTATGGGTCCATCTAGTTCATCTTATACACTACAAGTGAGTTTCCACAATGTGGAGTCACAGAGGTACATTTCGGACTCCTTACCTCTTCCGGTTCCCAAATTAGGTCCATTTGATGTTCCTCCCTTGGATTGAGACCGTTTCACTCATGTTTGTCCTCATAGTCATGTGTAGAACCTATTAATCCATGTTTGGGTAAGTATGGGTCCATCTAGTTCATCTTATACACTACAAGTGAGTTTCCACAATGTGGAGTCACAGAGGTACATTTCGGACTCCTTACCTCTTCCGGTTCCCAAATTAGGTCCATTTGATGTTCCTCCCTTGGATTGAGACCGTTTCACTCATGTTTGTCCTCATAGTCATGTGTAGAACCTATTAATCCATGTTTGGGTAAGTATGGGTCCATCTAGTTCATCTTATACACTACAAGTGAGTTTCCACAATGTGGAGTCACAGAGGTACATTTCGGACTCCTTACCTCTTCCGGTTCCCAAATTAGGTCCATTTGATGTTCCTCCCTTGGATTGAGACCGTTTCACTCATGTTTGTCCTCATAGTCATGTGTAGAACCTATTAATCCATGTTTGGGTAAGTATGGGTCCATCTAGTTCATCTTATACACTACAAGTGAGTTTCCACAATGTGGAGTCACAGAGGTACATTTCGGACTCCTTACCTCTTCCGGTTCCCAAATTAGGTCCATTTGATGTTCCTCCCTTGGATTGAGACCGTTTCACTCATGTTTGTCCTCATAGTCATGTGTAGAACCTATTAATCCATGTTTGGGTAAGTATGGGTCCATCTAGTTCATCTTATACACTACAAGTGAGTTTCCACAATGTGGAGTCACAGAGGTACATTTCGGACTCCTTACCTCTTCCGGTTCCCAAATTAGGTCCATTTGATGTTCCTCCCTTGGATTGAGACCGTTTCACTCATGTTTGTCCTCATAGTCATGTGTAGAACCTATTAATCCATGTTTGGGTAAGTATGGGTCCATCTAGTTCATCTTATACACTACAAGTGAGTTTCCACAATGTGGAGTCACAGAGGTACATTTCGGACTCCTTACCTCTTCCGGTTCCCAAATTAGGTCCATTTGATGTTCCTCCCTTGGATTGAGACCGTTTCACTCATGTTTGTCCTCATAGTCATGTGTAGAACCTATTAATCCATGTTTGGTAAGTATGGGTCCATCTAGTTCATCTTATACACTACAAGTGAGTTTCCACAATGTGGAGTCACAGAGGTACATTTCGGACTCCTTACCTCTTCCGGTTCCCAAATTAGGTCCATTTGATGTTCCTCCCTTGGATTGAGACCGTTTCACTCATGTTTGTCCTCATAGTCATGTGTAGAACCTATTAATCCATGTTTGGGTAAGTATGGGTCCATCTAGTTCATCTTATACACTACAAGTGAGTTTCCACAATGTGGAGTCACAGAGGTACATTTCGGACTCCTTACCTCTTCCGGTTCCCAAATTAGGTCCATTTGATGTTCCTCCCTTGGATTGAGACCGTTTCACTCATGTTTGTCCTCATAGTCATGTGTAGAACCTATTAATCCATGTTTGGGTAAGTATGGGTCCATCTAGTTCATCTTATACACTACAAGTGAGTTTCCACAATGTGGAGTCACAGAGGTACATTTCGGACTCCTTACCTCTTCCGGTTCCCAAATTAGGTCCATTTGATGTTCCTCCCTTGGATTGAGACCGTTTCACTCATGTTTGTCCTCATAGTCATGTGTAGAACCTATTAATCCATGTTTGGGTAAGTATGGGTCCATCTAGTTCATCTTATACACTACAAGTGAGTTTCCACAATGTGGAGTCACAGAGGTACATTTCGGACTCCTTACCTCTTCCGGTTCCCAAATTAGGTCCATTTGATGTTCCTCCCTTGGATTGAGACCGTTTCACTCATGTTTGTCCTCATAGTCATGTGTAGAACCTATTAATCCATGTTTGGTAAGTATGGGTCCATCTAGTTCATCTTATACACTACAAGTGAGTTTCCACAATGTGGAGTCACAGAGGTACATTTCGGACTCCTTACCTCTTCCGGTTCCCAAATTAGGTCCATTTGATGTTCCTCCCTTGGATTGAGACCGTTTCACTCATGTTTGTCCTCATAGTCATGTGTAGAACCTATTAATCCATGTTTGGTAAGTATGGGTCCATCTAGTTCATCTTATACACTACAAGTGAGTTTCCACAATGTGGAGTCACAGAGGTACATTTCGGACTCCTTACCTCTTCCGGTTCCCAAATTAGGTCCATTTGATGTTCCTCCCTTGGATTGAGACCGTTTCACTCATGTTTGTCCTCATAGTCATGTGTAGAACCTATTAATCCATGTTTGGGTAAGTATGGGTCCATCTAGTTCATCTTATACACTACAAGTGAGTTTCCACAATGTGGAGTCACAGAGGTACATTTCGGACTCCTTACCTCTTCCGGTTCCCAAATTAGGTCCATTTGATGTTCCTCCCTTGGATTGAGACCGTTTCACTCATGTTTGTCCTCATAGTCATGTGTAGAACCTATTAATCCATGTTTGGGTAAGTATGGGTCCATCTAGTTCATCTTATACACTACAAGTGAGTTTCCACAATGTGGAGTCACAGAGGTACATTTCGGACTCCTTACCTCTTCCGGTTCCCAAATTTGGTCCATTTGATGTTCCTCCCTTGGATTGAGACCGTTTCACTCATGTTTGTCCTCATAGTCATGTGAGAACCTATTAATCCATGTTTGGTAAGTATGGGTCCATCTAGTTCATCTTATACACTACAAGTGAGTTTCCTCAATGTGGAGTCACAGATGTACATTTCGGACTCGTTACCTCATGTTGATCCGACTCCAAATGATCAAATCTATGTTCCCTTGTTCTTGTTTTGAGTCTGATTCTGAACATCTTAGTGCTCTTCTGTCATGGAAGCATAACAAGTAGAGATATCTCAGGAAATTAGAAGGAACCGTTGATATGCCTCTTCAGGAACACATAGAACATGGCTATCAAGAGGCATATCAACGGTTTGTTCTAATCACCTAAGATATTGTTAGGATTCCATTACAAAGCATCACTAAGCTGTTCATAACCAACCCGTAACAAGAACAACATAACATAACTAGATCTCCTACACGATCCATTTTCTCAGTCTTTTTCCTATCCGAAGAGAGGCTCTCTAATCTGATGTCCTTTTTCAACAAATCTTCTCCAACCAGATGTTTCTCTGTTGTCCCAAACATACCACATAATGGTACTTAACTAGTGCCATGCTGGGATGAGGCTGAGTCATTCTGCAGAAACCATATCAAACATTCAAACTCATAATCTGAATATAACTGGAAATCAGTTTCAGTGATTAATTATAGCTCACAGCTTTCTCAGAATCTATAGTTTAAAGAGACATGATGATCAGCTAAAGTAATTTATCCCTTTATCTTACTCATCTTTCTAAGGCGTGGACGTGATCTGCAAAAAACAACATATCTTCTTTCTTCTTGACGAACAATTAAAGGTCATACATCTCTTGGTTTACCTTATTGAAAGATTAGAATATTAGTCTCCATTTAAGAATTTTGCAAGAAAATATTCAAGATTCTTAAGATTCCTTACCATATAAGCTGATTATGAAACTAGCATGATTCTTAAGGTGGTCCTCTCTTAATCAAAGTACCATGGTTCTGTGCTGCCTGATGCTCGGTAAGGAGGTTTCACTTCACCCTGAAAATTGCATAGAAACAATCCATCTCAATCTTAGTCCAATTCATGTAATGCTGCTCTAACTAGATCATCTTATATCTCTTAGTTTGTGTTATAGCATTTTCACTACAGCCAAAACAAAGAAAATAAAGCAAAAAGGACTGTCACTGCCTTTCTTTCAACATATCTCTGTGTCACATGCACCTTTTTTTGTTGAAAACTCATTAAAATATATTGTTTTTACAGTCAAGAAAATAAAAGTTGGCAAAAAGACACAAAATAAAAAATTATACGTAATATTAAATTGGTAAGATAACTAAAACACCACCTAATAATTTCAGGTAAACTGGTAACAAGAACCCAAAACAAAAAAAGCTCCGGAATCTAATAAACAGAACAAACACCAAAAATCAGAAAAGTTTGTTGATTTTAGACAAAAGAAAAGATGTACGTACTTGTTGATGAGGATTATATGAACGGTACGTAGTTTATACTGACTACCATTAGAGAGCAATCACCTAAGCTGCTTATGAGTGTTATTTTTCTATTCTCTGTTTTCTTGTTTTCCTTGAAAACCATCTATATACAGACATGCAAGAACTAAAATTCTGCACAAACCCTAGTCACTCGGGGAGTAAACTCAAAGAACAAGAGAAGAATAGAAGAAATAAGAGAACGAATAAGATAAACTTTTCTTTATTCTGTTTTTTTCTGACAT